GACCGGGAAGCCCCTTCCTCTGGACCAGGAGCAGTGGGATGGCGGCTCAGAAGCCCCTACCTCTGGGCTGGGAGCAGCGGGACTCAGTACCGTGGTCTGGTGGTCTGGTGTCCTCTGTGTCTTTGTAGTGTGGAACCAGGTGGCTGTACAGAGGAGCGGGGTGGGGGTGGTGTCCAGTGGATTGTTGCTGGGGTGCAGGCTGATTCGGCCTGTTCCACACAACTGAGGACCTCGGTAGGCCGTGGGCAGACCTGCCTGTCTGCAGCGGGCTGATTCGGAGTTTTCCTTGCAACTCCGGACCTCGGTACGGTGTGCACAGACCTGCCTGTCTACGGGCTGATTTGGCATGTTCTGCAGGACTCGGGACCTCGGTAGGGCATGCACAGCAAAAAGTCTTAATTCACATGAAATAAATATAAAGCTGTCTCCCTAACACCATGACCTCGGAAGTAAGATTTCAACATACGGAGTTAAGAACAACTCAGTGTCTAAAAGCACAACTGTCTACTTAATCTGTGATTTATAGAATAATATTAGAGCTTAATATATGCTTATTAGGTGCAGTTTGAAGTACCTTACAGGTTGTACCCGCCTGCAAAATTTACATGTTAAATCCTAAGTCCTAAATTGATGGCATTAAGGAGTAGGGCCTTGCGAAGGTGATTAGTCTTGAGGATGGAGCCAGGTGTATAGACTTAGTGTCCCTGTAAATGAAGTCCCATAAAAAAGCTCCCTTGCCTTGTGTCATGCGAGGTTACAATACGAAGGTGCTGTGTGTGACCCAAGCAACAGGTCCTTACTGGAAGCAAAATCTGCCAACACCTGGACGTTGGGCTTTCTTGTCTCCAGCACTGTGAGAAATGAATTTCAGTTGTTTATCTACTCGGTCTGTGGTATTTTGTAATAATGTACCTAATGGAATACGACAAATAACTTCTTATGTGTATTTTGCCACAAGAAAGGAAAATTATCTTTCTGAAATTCACACAGAATAAAAACATTTGAATGTAAGACATTTAATGAAGTTTTCTCAAGCCAAAATCATCTTTAAATTATAAATTTTAAAATATATGTTTTGGGGGTTTTTTTGTTTGTTTGCAGTACCAGGGATCAAACTCAGGACCTTGCACTTGTGAGGCAGGCACAGCACCACTGAGCTAAATCCCCGGCCCTAAAATATATGTTTAAAATCTGACTTTTAAAATATTATATTTTAGCCAGGCAGGGTGGTGCTTGCCTATAATCCCAGCACTGAAGGAGGCTGAGACAGAATTGCAAATTCAAGTCCCGCTACCTGTCAACTTAGGAAGACACTGTCTCAAAATAAATGTTTTTTAAAAGGGGTGGGGATGTACCTCAGTGGTAGAATGCCCCTGGGTTTGATCCTCTGTGCTGAGAAAGAAAAAAAAATTGTCCTTTGTAATTGAATTATAAAGGAAAAAATCTGGTAAAATAAGTGAAAAAATAAAAAGATAGTGCAATGTAACTAGTACTCCATTACATTTGTTATCTGATTTAAAGACCTGTCCCTTACGAATGAAAAGGCTGACATCTGGAAAAACAGTGCCACCAGTCTGATGCCAGATGTGCTGGACAGGGAGCTGTACCAGCCACATCTCCCTTTGAGGAGTAGCTTGTTGCTCAGCTGTAGCAGACAGGTTAATGGCGAGCTGTCAGCACCTCCAGAGTGTGCTCAGCTGCAGGCAGCCACCTTCCACAAGGTCACATCGTCCCCAAGCATCTCGTACCCAATGAGGGATCAATATCTTCATCAATTCCCCACCATTTTTACTGCACAAGGGACAACTTAGGTGAACCATAGTTCCTCCAAAGCTCGTGAGGTTAATCGAGCTTGACAGGCTTGTCTCTCATCTCCACACCTTCCTCTAACCAGTCCAGTTTTCTCTCTTTCTTTCTTTCATGTGTATGAATCTCCAATGAACATTTAGAGAACCCAGCCTGCAGCACAGGGATTCTGTCTTGGCTGCTACGTGCAACCTCTCACTGTAATATGCCAGAACTGCTTAAGACTTCAACACTTCTTGCTCTTGCCAGATACTTTTCCAGAAGTGGGAGCAGAGAAGAGAGTCATTTTCACTCCTGACTGAGAAATGAATTGAATCCAGGGCAGACTTTTGGACATATTTTCTGTGTACTTGATGTTGGCTACTTCACCTTGGGTAGCAAAGCAAGTCCCTCCCTTGCCACTGTGTCTACACAACCAGGAATACTGATTTCACATGACCACACACCTCAAATAGACTCTCAACATCATCCAGCATTCCTGATGTTGTCATATCCACCCTCCGATCTCATTCTATTCCATCCTCTGAACCTATGCAGGTCCAGAGTAGCTTGTGACCTCACAACTTTAGCCCAGACCCCATCTCCAACACCACTAAGAGTTCTCATCCTATGATAGTTCCTTCATTTTCCCATTAGTAAGTCCACAGATCTAACTGCACCCTTTGTTCCTTTCTGCCTGTCTCCACCTAGGCATCCCATTCCATCTTGAAGTTCAGTGTCTTACCCCGTATTCTGGGTCCCAGCCCTTGAAGTTCTTTGATTAAATGATCTTTTCCTTCCTCTTCAGGACCGTAAATCACTCTCTTCATACTGGATTATTTCCTTCAACTCAAACAAACATGCTGTCGTGGCTCCCATTAAGGGCAAAAACAAAAACTCCCTTGAACTCTCATGACCCTCCAGCTGCTGCTCCTCTTTCTGTACTTTTTGTTTGTTTGAGTCTTGATTACAAATGTCAGGTCTGCTTATTCATTCTCCACTTGGACCTTAGTCCAGACTTGCTACAATGTGTGTTTCACTGCTACCACTACACAGAAGTGGTTCTTATTTAGGTCACTGGTCACCCAATTCATTTCATCACATTTCAGTGTTCATCTCAGTTGATTTTACAGTGGCACTCAAAACAATTAACCATTCCTACCTTATTGGAATGCCCTCATACACTGGATTTTGAGACATTCTTTGGACCTGGTTTTCATTCTGTTCCACTACCTACTTACCTGTCATCTTTGCTCTTTGCTCCTTTCCTCCATTCCTTTTCTAGCCAATCTTTAAATGTTGACACTCTCAAAACCCAGCTGCCACATTCTCATCTTCTCTCTGGATAAATTCTCCTTAAATAAACCAGTGGTTCTCAACAGCATATGGTTTTGCCCCTAGAGGATGTTTATCAATGACCAGAGATATTTTTGATTGCCACAACTAGCAGAATATTACTAGAATCTAGAGGATAAAGAATGGAGATGCTGTTGAACACTGGTGGTTAGTACACAACCCTACAATGCAACACAGCAACCCTCCCATACCAGAGAATTGTCTAGTTCAAAATGTTGTCTAAATACTGACTTTGAGAAAGCATGTACTTGCAGTCTTTTGGCTTTTTATATTGTCTGTGACAGAAAATATGTATTTTTGTCTGGTATCCAGCCTCCTTTCCTTTCTGATAATGGAATTTATACTTCATCAGGTGGTACATGCCCTTCCACTTTATAGACTCTATGTTATCGCCTCTAGTGCGCCTCAGGAGAATGTGCAACTTCTGAGTCAGTTGCTTAAAAGAAAGTGCTGTTTTTTCCCCTTTTTCTGAATTATGTGACACATTTCTGGTGCTAATGAGTCAATTTCAACCATACAGAAAAAAAAAATATTCAAGGAGTGTGACAAAGAAATAAGATAAAATAACCTGAATCCCTGAATGATCTTGTGGAGTGAAACTGTCTGCCTAATCTAGATCACTCCCCAACCTCTGGACCATTATGTGAATGAAAAATAAATTTCTATCATGTTGGATCTACTGTATTTGGGAGCAAATTTTTTACATCTTCATTAGTTTCCTAGCAGATACACTGATAGTGTTTTAATTTGTAATTATAGCCATGGGCTTCTCTCTAACCCCAGATCTATAAATTAACCACCTACTTGATATGTATTGTTGTGTATCTCCCATGATCTCAAACCTAACATGTTCAAAGTTGAACTCTTTATTTAGCCACCAGATCATTCCTCTCTTAGCCATTCCTCCCTTTGATAAGTGGCTCTCTCAGCCTTAATCCTTTATTTCATTTCTGTTTCCAAAACAAACATAACATATACCCACTTTTTATTTTTCTATTGCTACCGTCCTAGTTCAAGCCATCACTTGGATCTGGGCCATTGTGGTTGCTTATCCACTGTGCTTCCTACATCCTCCCTTGCTCTCTAGCCCATAGTCTACCTAGAATCCAGGGGAAGTCTTTACTAAATAAGAATCAGATAATCTCGTGCCTTCCACAAAATTTTCAATCTTCCTAAAGCATTTACATGGAATTCATGCTTCCTACCTGGAGCCCACCATGATCAACATAATCTAATCCTTGGTCCACACTTAGCTATACAACATCATCTTGGTTCATTCTGTCTTTATACCTGATACTCAAGCTACACTGATGTCCTTCCAGCTCCTAACACTCACAAATACTTTCCTGCCTCAGGAACTGCACTTGAATGAATGCTGCCCTGCTCTTTGCATGGCTAGCACATCTCAGCCTGCAATTTCTCATCTTCTGGGGTTATGCTACATAAGATTCCTCCCTCTCCCTTTATTATTCTCTGTTAATGTGCTCTCTTAATTTCCTTTATGGAACCTATCACCATTTGTTATTATAATTGTGCTTGTGTGTGGTTTTTGTCTGTCTCTCCCATGAGTGCAGGGATTCTGGTTACTTTATTCACCAATGAGTACTTAGTATTAATATTGCTGGGTACATAGTATGCATTCAAAATTATGTGAGTATGAGAGTGTGTATGCATGCTTTTTTATATTTAATTGAATGAAATGATGTCTCAACAAGCCAAGATTTACTCTGGATATTTTTTTTTACTAATCCTAACCAGTGGAAAGAAGGCTGCAATGCACATTAAGGAGAGCCTCAAGGGGTGGGGAACAAGTTTACGTTCAGAACCGGAAGCTTAGAAGATGATTAGACACAGCAAAAGGGGGTGTGTGGGAGGGTAAAATATGATTCTGGCTCCGGAGCATGGATGTCTATCTGCTCAAACCATTGCTCACTTTCACTAATAGGAAAATGTAAAGCAGGTCCAACTCTTAGAGGCTAATTGTTTAAGGTGCAAGTTAGGAGAAAAGGAAATAAAGAAGAAAGGCCAGAGAAGAGATGGAAAGAGAAGGAAAAGAAGGGCACAGGGCACAGACTGTTCTGGATGTTTCTATTCTGTGCAGTCAAGAGCAACGTATTACTGGGGAGGAGAGAAATCTAATGAAATACTTGGAAATTTTATTGCTGGAACTAAAGTGATTTGTACTGATTTTTGAGAAAGATCTTATTGAGTAGTTGGCCGCCAGTCCCAGGCCCTGATGACAAGTACTGTCTGTGCATATAAATTATTCATGTCTATTCATCAAGAATGGGTCACACCACTTTCTTCTTTCCCTTCAGCTGCCTCTGGACCCTTTTTAGACCTGTGGTCTCACCCTCCTTGCTCAGGATTTCTTAAGCCTGTGGCTCACAGCTCAGCAGCATGCTGGGCAGGATCCTGAGGAAGAATTATGAGACATTAATATCATTCCAAATTCTGTTATGTGTCCAGTGTTTTACATAAAATAAACCACTCAATCCTTCCAAAAATATCAACAAGAAATGCATTTCTGCCCCCATTTTACACATGAGGAAAATAAAGCTAAAAGAAGTTATGTACTTTTACTCAGTCACAGAGCTAATAAAAGTCTGTGCTGGTTTATTTGATCCCAAAGCACATACTCTCTTCTCTACACATGGAAACCGTCAGCAACAAAGCAGGGGATTTTACACAAATGAAACCACCTCCCTCCAGCCAGAGTAATCTTTATCAAAATATAGACCTAATTGTGTTGGGCTTCTGCTAAAACCACTTCCTGAAAAGGTTCCTTTCTACAGAGACATGTGTCAGCCCGTCTTTTGGAAATGCTAGTCCCTTAGCTCTAGATCCACACACGAACTCACATGCACACATATGAATGAGTGTACATACACACACAAACACACTGTTTAGAGTTTCATTTAAGTCATTAGTTCTTTTCAGTCTTTACTACACTCAAACCAATAGTTCGCCAACTTCACAGTATGTATGAATTATCTGGAAACATAGTTAAAGGTCTAATTCCCAAACCGCATTCTAAAAGTTCCATACTGGTAGATATGGGAAAGGAATCCAAACTCTGCATGTTCTACAGTCACCTGAAATGACTGATTCTGATGTGAGTGGTTTCAAAGACCACGTTCTGGGATACATTCCAGATAGTGAGATTTTATTGTACCCTTGTCTTCCTCCTGTACCACTCTCCTTCAATGTTCACCCATCTGACAAACATTTGTTAGGTATTCACTACATTCCAGGCATTTTTTCTAGATACTGGTGATATGGCAGTAGAGAAAATGAAGTCTCTGTTATCATGGAGCTTACAATCGCATTGAAATAAAACAAAAAGTAAATGAGCATACAATATTGTATTAGGGTTCTCTAGAAAACAGAATCGGACCACCCCCAGGGCCGAGGAGTAGAGCCGCCCCCAGCTCGGGGGGGTGAACCTTCCTGGCCATCATACCACCGCCCCCAGTGCTGAGGAGCAGATCTGCCCCCAGCACAGAGGAGGTGAACCTTCTGGCTCACCATACCACTGCCCCCAGTGATGAAGAGGTGAGCCTTGCAGGTGCCAGCAGCACACTGCCCCCTGTTAAAATGAGAAGACATGTAAACAAGTCTCAAAACCAGACTCCCAGATCACCTAAAGCAACCCCAAAGGAAAACGAGATAGAACAATCTGATACTCAACCACTTGGACTCCCTGAACTGGCAACAAAAGAGGATCTGGAAAAAATGAAATCAGAAATAACTTTTCAGATAACAGCAGAGATTGTGCCCATAGTGCAAGACTGATTAATAAGTCTAGAGAGGACACAGATTAAAAAAAAATAGAGGAGCTCAGGAACTTGATGGAATCTCAACGTAGGAAACAAATGGAATCCATAAAACAGATGTAAACAGATTTTCAGGAGATTAAAAACTCCATTGAAAGTTTATGTGGCAGAATGAGCCAATGTGAGGGCAGAATGAGCCAATGTGAGGACAGAATTTCAGATATAGAAGATAAGATTGCAATTAGTGACCAGGAAAAGAAAAATTTCTTTAAAATACTAAGGGACCACGAGAAATCAGTCCACCAGCTGCTAAATGATGCAAAGAAGAATAACCTAAGACTGATCGGAGTCAATGAAGAAACAGGACAGGGTGCAGATAACATAGAAAAATAGAATCAGTAGAACATATATAAAATTATGCAATGAGATCTATTAGGTAGGCTTACAGGATCAGTGGCAGAAGAGTCCACAGTGGCGGTCTGCACACTAGAAAGCCAGAGAATCCAGTATCTGCTTAGCCCAAAGAATGGAAGCCACAGAACAAAAAGGACCAAGGATGAAGTGCCAGTTTTAGGTCAAAGGCCTAGAAGTTCAATTAAGGGTCTCTGGTGCAAGTCTGCACTGGAAGAGTGAAAAAACTGGAGACCTGGAGAACAATGTCCACAAGTAATGGCAGCAATGGATGGGCCTGCCAAGAAGACTCTTCAAAACAGCAACACTTCCCTCCTCTTTCCCTT